AGTCTTCAATTTCTGGTACAATATTGTCGTAAATAGCAACTCTGTTCAAAAAGTTTGGCTGTGGTGTTTTCCACATATTATCTACTCTACTTGTTCTCATAACATAGTTTAGTCTTTGCATTAAAAAATAGTTGTCTTGTTCGATTCGTCGACATCGCTCTTTTTCTTTTTGTTGTTTTTTTAATTTGACGCAGACATGTTCACGAAATGGAGGGGGGCCGGTGTCGACAGCCGGTAAAGCAGATTGAACCTTAAAACACAAATAATATTAGTTATATAAAATATATTATGGGGTTTTATGGAGTAGGAAATGATTATAATAGCTAATTCTAGTAAACTTTGAGGGTATACAAGGCAACTATCGAACACGGTGATTAATTTAATCTTGCCCAAGTACTTTCGATCAATAGATCATCTTCAGGGGCATTTCGTCAGTTGTGGCCTATCCGACATAGTAGAATGTCATAAATGTAAAATTTGGACATAACAATACAAAATACAATACACTAAGACAAACAAACACTTTAAAAATTTTTAAGGAGAAGCTACATGTTGTATGGAAGACAGACATTTCTGTCTCCGGCTTCCATACAACATGTAGCTTCTCCTTAAAAAATTTTAAAGTGTTTGTTTGTCTTAGTGTATTGTTTTGTATTATGAAAATGTAGAGGAACTGTGGACAAAATGTAAAAACATAATAACTGAGAAAGCAACAAAAATATTGGGGAAAACCAAACCAGTTAAAGAAAATGAATGGTTTGACAAGGAGTGCCAAGAAGCAACAGATAATAAAAACAGGGCATACCTAAAGACAAATCAAGCTGGATGCACAAGAAGAGCAAAGGAAGAATACCGGACACTAAGAAGAGAAGAAAAACGATTACATAGAAGAAAAAAAAGACAATTTGAGCAAAAGCAATTGGAAAGCACAGAATGGCTAAGAAATCAAAATGAAACTCGAAAGTTCTACAGAAATCTAAACAAAATGCGCAAAGAGTTTAAGCCAAGAATAAGGAGCTGTAAAGATGTAGAAGGAAACATCCTAAATGATACGGCCTCAATCCTAAACAGATGGGTTGAATTTTTCGATGCAAAATTTAATGGCCATCATATCGAAGAAGCAGATAACACCCTAGCAAATCGAAATGATTGGAATCCTTTCAACCCAAACGAAAGACCACCTACCATCGAAAACGTTGCCCAAGCCATTAAAAAGCTTAAAAATAATAAATCACCAGGAGTTGATCAAATTTGCAGTGAGCTCTACAAAAATGGTGGCGATGCCCTACTACAGACACTGCATAAGCTTTTACTTCTTGTTTGGCATAGTGAGACCATGCCTTGTGAATGGTCTCAAGGCGTGATATGCCCGCTACATAAAAAAGGTGACCAGCTCCACTGTAACAACTATAGAGGTATAACCCTGTTAACAACTGCTTACAAAATACTAGCAAATATTCTCTACGAAAGGTTGCAAGTTTACACAGTGGGCATAGTTGCTAAATATCAAGTTGGATTCACCCCAGAAAAATCAACAATTGACCAGATTCATTCAATAAGACAGATTCTCGAGAAAACATTAGAATTCAATATTGAAACCCATCACCTATTCGTCGACTTCAAGGCCGCATACGACAGTGTCAAGAGAACAGTGCTATACCAATCAATGCATGAGTTTGGTATACCAGAGAAACTTATCCGACTAACGAGAATGACAATGTCTAACTTAGAAGCCACTGTTAGAATACAGGGAGAGAGTTCTAGATCCTTTGAGATAAAGGATGGACTCAGACAAGGAGATGCTCTGGCTTGTCTCCTATTTAATATTGCCTTAGAAAAGGCAGTCCGAGATACACGAATTAGGGATGGCGGTACTATTTACAATAGATCGATACAAGTCTTAGCATATGCTGATGACATTGACATAGTAGGGCGTAGCAAGCGAGATGTTGAGCAATATCTCCTAGAATTGGAAACAGCGGAGAAACAGGTCGGTCTAGTCATCAACGAAGACAAAACCAAGTACATGTTGGTTACAAAGGATCCGATAGCAAATGAGGAACGAGAAACAGTCTTTGGAAGTCATAGATTTGGACGTGTTGACAACTTCACATACCTTGGGTCGCTATTGACTGCTACCAATAAAACAAGCGAAGAAATCAAAAGACGAATAAATCTTAAAAATAGGGCATACTATGGACTTCAAAAGCATTTCCACTCAAGAAACATTCAAAGAAGAACTAAAATTATTATATACAAAACATTGCTGAGGCCGGTCCTCACATATGGAGCAGAAACATGGACACTAACGCAGAAAGATGAAAGACTTTTGGGAATATTTGAGCGTAAAATACTCCGCAAAATATTTGGAGCTGTAAACGACCAAGGGCAGTGGCGCAGAAGATATAATTTTGAATTGTATCAGCTCTTTGATGAGCCAGATGTCATAACGTTCATTAAAACACGGCGACTTAGATGGGCTGGACACATAATACGAATGCCAGACAATACCATTGCTAAAAAGCTAGCCACAGGAACACCTGTAGGAAAAAGAAGTAAAGGCCGACCGCGAATTAGGTGGATAGATGGAGTAGAAACCGACTTACGAATATTAAAAATCAGAAGATGGCAACATGTTGCCAAAAACCGAACAGAATGGCGACGAATCTTAGAGCAGGCCAAGATCCACAGGGGATTGTCGAGCCAAAGATGATGATGATAGCTGTATATAAGCTGCGCTTCAAAGTTAGAAAACACGATATGGAGGAATGGCAATATCTATGAATAACAATACGATTTTTTCATTCAGTTTTGCAGACGGTTGTGTTAGTCTAGAATTCATATGATTTACGTATAATAGCGTATAATGAATATAAAAATAAGATAAGTACCAAGAAAACAGAATATAAATATAAATCAAATGGAGAAATTCAAATACCTCGGATAATATTTCGATCGGAGCAAATTGGGCGAAACGGATAGTTTCAAAGTAAAATAAGAAAAGGGTGTTTAGAGCCAGGATGTAATCAGTTTTAAGCTGTGGGTCTTAATGTAGCCCTGAAAAGAAGGCTCTTAGAGATAGATATGGATTTTATAAGAAGAAGCACAAAAGTATTAGAGATATATATGGGTTTTATAACAAGAAGCACAAGAATATCAAAAATAGAAAGAAGAAGTAATGGGGAAATAAGAACTCGAATGTAAACCAGAAGAAACAGGGCTGGAGCGAATAAAAAAATGGCCCTTGAAGTGATTTGGACAGGATAAACCTAGGAATAAATTGGTAATTAGAGGAAGTCTGTACTGGACAAATTGATCCAAAAATGATGAGTAGAAAAGTCAAAAAAGAGATGATGGTAAGAATTAGAAGACAGCTCTAAAAAAATTAATATTGCTGTGACAATAGAATAAAAAACATCGGAGAACAATTGAGTGAATTTAAAAACCAAATTAACGAAATCTCCACAAACAATAATTATAGAAAAAAATTTATCAAGACAAATAAATGGATGACAGACGACATATTGAGATTAATGGAACAACGTCGACTGATAAAATCTAATGAAACAGAATATAGACACCTGCAGAGAAGAATAAAAAAGGAGATCAAATTAGCCAAAGAAAAATTGATGAGGGAAAGGTGCGACGAAATGGAGGATGTAATATCTAAACACGACTTATTAAATGTGCACAAAAAACTAAAAGAAATAAGTAACATATTTAAAAAACGTGTTTCCTCTGTACTCGTTGACAATAATAACAAAATTATTGTAAGTGAGCATCAAATAAGAAAATAATGGCAGCTGTATATATCAGAGTTGTTTGAAGATGACAGGAATAATATTGCCGAATTGTACCAAAACTGTACTGACGGCCCAGAAATTATGAAATGCGATGTAGAACACGTTATAAATATTGCTAAAATTATAAAAGCTTGTGGTCCAGATGATGACGAGGAGTCAGACAAGGTTGCATTTTGTCGCCAACATTGTTCAGTGTTTACTCAGACCAGTTATTTAAAAAGGCACTTGAGAGATAACCATATGGAATAAAAATCAACGGGGAACTACTTAATGTGATTAGATATGCAGACGATACAGTAATTCTATCAGATAATATTGAAGGTCTTCAAATTCTGCTTGATCGTATTCACGAGGTAGGAGAGGAAATGGGCATTAAAATAAACTCAAACAAAACCAAATTTTTAGTGTTTAGTTGTGACCCATATCCCAATGCTGTGACCTACATCAAAAATGGAAACGTATGAAGAAGTTATAATGTAATTAGAAAATTCGATTCCGTATAAGGATAAAGATAAAATTAACTATCATTTTCTGATCCTTCTTTAATCGTGTGTGATCATCTATAAAAGGACTATATTAAATACATGTACAGGTATATATTTCTATTGTAATGTATTATTATAGTGGATTAATGAGTGAATAAAATTGATAACTAGATTCTAGAACTAAAATTGATCTCATGTTCTTAAACAGCTTCACTATTGACAACTACGCTTACCTTATGACGGTGATACGCAAATTTCTTTTGCTGCCAAGGCCTAATCAACAAATTATCTTTTTTTGAAATCATAATATACAAAAAATATTTAAAATTTACATCATGAACATAGATTGGAGCTATGGAACTATAGAAAAAATAATCTTGTTGTTGCAATGATAGTTGCCTAGCAAAAATTGATTTTTTTGTATATTGGTCTAATGGAATTTAACCAATAAAATCCTATGAAATATATAATATACATACTGTCAACAATAATATCAAATATAATTTAACAAAAAAAATTATTATATTCATTGTATATTATAAAGTATTTCAAAATTATTTTATAGCTTATTTTCATAATATTTTATATTTGAACAGTTGTTAATGTGAAGATGTGTGACGTCATCCGAATAGAGACATAACTTCCACTCCCAATATCACATGGGAACTGATCATGCGCAACATATCAAAATTTACAGTATTTTGACGTTTTGTTTTGGTCAAGTCAAGTCGCAGGCTCATTATAGTTGCGAACTAGTGTATTGATTATCCTAAATTTGTGCTAGAAATTATTTTTCAAAATGACGATTTTAACAAAACCTTTCTCCGAAAAGAAAGGTGAGAAGGATGTAGCTCCTTTGGTTTTCAATGAACAAATTCCTGCTGCGGTAAGTGATTTATTTAATCCAAGTTAAATAATCTATGGTTGCTCTAACAAAAACAGTACGTCATTTGTGTTTAGTCATATTTGACCGAAGATCTAATTTATTTTACAGCATCGGCGTGTTAATTTATGACAAATTGCTTTAATAAACACATAAAAATTACATACTTAACATATAATTAGAATTAATCTGTTTATTTTATTTTTTTTGATTATTTTGAATAACTTTATGTGTGCTGTGTTATCAGCTGAGTTTAGTCAAGGAATATAAACGCTACTATATTCGTTGGTTTAGTATATTCAGTACAGTATATTCAATTTCTAAAGAATACCAAAGTTAATCCCTTTCTTTTTAAGATAATAATACAGAACTTCTTACTATTGACATCTTGATTAAGATAAATAGTGACATTGAAATGAATTTGGTGATAAGTACCTTGCTCTTTTTGTTAGGTATTTTTAATACCTATATCATTCTATAAATAAGCAAAAATATTTCTTATATAGTTAAATGATCTTTTTAATGGTTCACAATTACTTATGATCCATTTAACAGAAGACAATATCAAAATATAACTTTAATAGTTTCTACATGTTTTTATTTTTATTTTATTTAAATATTTTTAACCATAAACTTCTAAATATATTTTAAAGATCTGTTTGTACAGTGGAAATACCTATTATCATGTCAGTAAAGTCCAAATTTATCATAATTTTATGTGCATAAAAAGTATTCTTACATTTTCTTCATATTTTATTAACAATCATATGCAAATAACAAGGAATATAATATGGACAAATGTTGTTAAATGCTTTTAATACATTTTATACTGGATATAATATATATTTTAATATATATATATATATATATATATATATATATATATATATATTTATATATATATATATATATATATATATATTTATATATATATATATATATATATATATATATATATATATATATATAGCAAAAAATATTAATTTTGTTCAAGAGTAATAAATTACCTCAAATATATTCTGGGCCAAAATTAACCAGCCACCTTATAAAAATGGGTAATTTTTGATTTCTTATATCTCCTAAACCTGTTGTCCTATTTAAGTGATTTTTTTAATATGTTATAGCCTTATTCCTTGACATTATCTTTATAATAATATTGTTACTAAACAGGTAAATTTTCATTGTATATCGAGTGTATAAATCAAACTGTGTTTTTTTCTTAAAGTTTGCATCACCCTGTGGAATATTCTAGCATTTGTAGAGTACTTAAATTAAATGGTAACTATAGCCTCATGCTTTCTCAACATTTTGTTTTTTGATTGATTTGCTTATGTTAGATAATACAAAAGTTAGGTACTTTAACAATTAGACATGTTTTTTACCAATTTTTATCTCCGCGGAAGAGAAAAAATATTCTTTTTGAAAAAAAGTCATTTGTTACAGTAAAAATTCAATGAATAAAACCTTCGAAGAAAATTCAAATTATCCATATTTTGGAAATCAAAGTCTAATTGAAAAAAAATTAGGTATCAATAATGGGTGTTGCCGCCTCTAGTCTTTACTACTTCTTAGAGCCGGTTTGGCAATCCACTCATGATATTCTGGATATCAGACTGGTGGATATTGTGCCACTCCTCTACCGCAGCTGTCTTCATCTCTTCAAAGGATGCAGGGGCTGGTACTTTTGCTCTTACCCATCTTTTGAGGTTGTCCCAGATATGCTCAATTGAGTTAAGATCGGAACTGTGTGCTGACCATGGTAGAACTTGAATCCCGACCTCATTAAGGTACTCGCGGGTAGATCTTGCTGTATGGCAACAAGCCTTGTCATGCATTAGTCTGAAGGTATCACCAATGAATGGTGCAAAAGGCATGACATGGTCTTGGAGAACTTCTTGCACATAGACTTGGGCATTTACACTGTCTCTACCAAAGACAACAAGATCAGTACATGCTTGTACAGTATGTACTGATCAGATCAAGATCAGTACAATGAAGCGGTCATCTCGAACTGAGGTGCATCGTTTTCGGCCTTGACCTGGCCTGCGGTTGTACGATTCTGTCTCCCAAAATCGTCTGATGGCATCTTGTACCGTAGTTCTGGGTACATCGAGTATACCAGCGATATGACGTTGACTGTAACCAGCATCAACTAAAGCCACTGCCCTAGCAGCATCAGTTGGAACGAGTGGCATTTTTAAAATCACAAACAATAAATAAGCACTAAAATTTCTACTTAAACAATATTCGCTCACAATGATATTACAATTTTAATTGTTAATTTTAATTACAAATTGTTCAAGAATTGTTATTAACAGATTTGCAACAATGTCGTACAACGACTATATTATTGACGTTTCAATTTCCACTTCGGAAATCGTTCTCATAATACAAACAGTAAATTAAACAAATTTTGTTTTTTTTTTGACTATATTATGTCAAAAATCCTTTGTTGGCACAAATTTAGCAAACAAACTGTCACAGGTAATGTAAACAAAACAATAATAAAGGTGGTGGGGTTAATTTTGATAGTGAGTTAAATTGTCTGTATTTATGAAAAACAAGGCTAGTTGTTAAACTACCTAACTTTTGTATTATCCAACATAAGCGAATGAATCAAAAAACAAAATGTTGAGAAAACATGAGGCTATATTTAGGTTTTAATTTCAATATTTTATAAATGCTAGAATATTCCACAGGCATGCAAACTTTAAGAAAAAAACAGGTTGATTTGTACACCCAGTATACAATGAAAATTTACCTGTTTAGCAACAATATTCTTCTAAAGATATTGTCAAGGAATAAGGCTATAACATATTAAAAAAATCACTTAAATCGGACAACAGGTTTAGGAGATATAAGACATCAAAAATTACCCATTTTACCTCACTTATATCTCAAAACACTCTTATATTAGGGCGCTTGTATATCGAAGTAAAACTGTATCTAGAAGTTTTAGTCTTAACGTGCATAATTTTGAAAATTATTCATTTTTTTTTAATTTAGGCAAAATTATTATGCAAAAACTATTGAAAAGATTTTAACGAAATTTTCTGTGATGATTAAAGATATTAAAAAGTTTTCTTTTTCGGATAAATGAAGGCCCTAAGTTTGATTTTAGTATAGGAAATAAACTCTCAAAAAAAAACCTCTTCTTAACTTTTTTTTGTTTTTTATTATTTTTTCACTAATAATAATGTTTAAGGTTTGAAACTAGCATTATCTTATGTAAAGTTCAATTTAAAAACTTTTATGTCCAAAGAAAATTGTTCTAAAACCAATAGTTCTTGAGATATTTGCAAAAAACGGGGAATATATAGATTTTTTTTAAATTCCTTTCATATTTTAATTAATAAAAAGTCAAACCCACATTCTACAAACCACGCATAGTGAAATTTTCATTTGTAGTGATATTTTGGAACCATTTATGCAAAAAAACTTCATTATAATATGCTTCACACTTAAAAATAGTTATTTAAATAGATAGCGCCTGGACTAGACCGGTTTTTATTAAATATTATTGATGGGTAGGTAAGTGTTTAATATATGCAAAATCAATTATTTAATTGAAGAGAATAAATTTTATGAATTAGCTTATGAAACGTAATGATTATGTTGATTGCTATTTGAATGAGTCCAATGTATGAGTAATATTGTCTGGTATCTCACATTAATAAATATTCCAATTAAATAACTGTGTATTATATGGTATGTAAACAAAAGCTGTCTGTAATTATAATAATAATTATTGGTAATATAATTAGAATGTAATACATTTATATAGTGATGTTTAACAATGGTATTTGTCTTCTATTTGATTATACACTTATAGTTGGTTCAATAGAAAAATTGTTAACGATAATAAATAATAAATTCTTCTTCTTATATAACGTATCCGTTACTGATGTTGGACACTGACATGGCTATTTTAACTTTGATGACTGTTGCTTAAAAAGTCCGGTAGTGGTCAAGTTAAGCTTCTTTATAGACTTTTCTTTCTGGATAGACTTTAAAGCCTGTTTCTTCTTCAATATTAGCCTCCTAAATTGTTTAAATCGTCGCACCATATTTTTCTTGGTCTGCCAATACTTCTTCGTCCATTTGGTGACTTATCCCGTGCTATTCATACTATTCTATCCTCTGCCATTCTACTGATGTGTTCGTTCCACTCCTGTTTTCGTTTTGTCACCCATCCATTTGTCTTCTACATTACATGCTCTTCTTATGTTTTCGCTTCTCTTCCTATCCAACAGACATTTCCCTAATATTCGTCGGAGTATTTTATTCCCTGGTATTTATAGTAGTCGTCTCGTTTTAGATGTATCAGGTCTTGTCTTCGCCAGGTATGTTAATATTAGTCTAATTGCTGCTTTATAGATTCTTGTTTTTGTGTCTTGTCTTAGGTGTTTGTTCTTCCAGATTGTGTCATTAAGAGATCCCGCCGCTTTACTTGCTTTTAAGATTTGTTGTCGTACTTCTTCTACAACATCTCCGTAACTAGTTATATCTTTTCCCAGATATCTAAACTTTGCTTCCTGCTCTATTATTTTCCTATCAATTTTGATTTTACACCGTAGTGGGTATTTAGATGTTGTCAAACATTTGTTTTTCTGCTATCATATTGTATTTGTTAGCTGTTGTATTGAAGATACGTATTAATCTTTGGAGTTCGTCTTCTGTCTCGACGATTAAGCGGCGTCGTTTGCATAACATAATATTTGGATTTCTTTGTTCCCAATTCTGTATCCATGACCTTTACGTACTGCTTGTATTATTTCGTCCATTAATATATTAAAGAGAAGTGGGCTTAACGAGTCACCATGTCTGACTCCGCTTTGTACTAGTATACACTGTGTTAGTTTTCCATTTATCTTTGCCTGTATTCGATTATGGAGGTAGATGATTTCGATGGTTTGTATACTATTGATTGGTATGTTTCTCTTATACAGTATGTGTAAGAGGTCTTGGACTTGGATGCGATCGAAAGCCTTTGTCAGGTCTAT